CCCGATAAACAGAGACAGCAGCAGCAGCAGTTACCCCTAGCCGCAAAAGCTGCTGCAGCAGCAGCAGCAGCAGCAAAACGGAGGTGGTTTTGCAGCATTATGTGCACCGGTATATGATGCATTGTAATCCAAATAGGGTTTAGGGTTTAGGGTTTAGGGTTTAGGGTTTGCATAGGAGAATGAATTGGTGAAAGTAAGATTTAGCTGAGGTGTAGCCGCAGCAGCTGCATTTGCTGCAGCTGCGCCTGATGCTTCTTTGCTTCGTCGTCCTTCATAGACTCTAACTGCAGCACATTTCTTCTGTGAAGAGCAGAGTTAAGCTCATGCTCATGGACAGCAGATTTTGTTTTAAAAACTCTCAAGCAAACAAAGCAGTATTTAGGTGCCTCTGCTGCTGCTGCCTTGCTGCTGCTGCTGCTGCTGCTGCTGCTGCTGCTGCTGATGTTGCTGCTGCTGCTCGGCGACACGCTGGACCCTCGCACCTCTGCAGGAGGAGGAGGAACTGCTGCTGCTGCTGCTGCTGCTGTAGTCTTCGTGTCTTCTGCTGCTGCTGCTGCTGCTGCTAAGTTTCGCTCAAACACCTTTGCAACGTCAGCAATTACGCTGGAAGGTGCAGCTGCTGCTGCTGCTGCTGCTGCACTTGAGGCAGCAGCAGCAGGAGAAACAAAAGCTGTACTTAACTCTACACCGCCCGATGCTCTCCCGTCCAAAGGAGACAGTGATGCAGCAAGAGGGACGCTGAACCCTGCGGCACCAGCAGCAGCAGCAGCAGCAGATCCTGAAGAATATCCTCGAGGTGTATGCTGCTGCTGCTGCTGCTGTGGAGACGGCCCATCAGAGAAGTTGCTTTTGAAGTGAGGAGGGCCCGGGGGAGGAGAAGGAACATTTTGCTGCAGTTGCTGCGCTGCTGCTGCTGCAGCTGCAGCAGCAGCAGCAGCAGCAGCAGCAGGAGTGTCTGCTGCAGCAGCAGCAGCAGCATTTCTCTTCTCGCTTGTTCTTGCTTTTTCAAGTGCATCCTTAGTAGCCTGAGCACTTTTCTGTGCTGAAGCAACAAGAGAAGCAACAAGCTGTGCAGTCGGTTGCTGTTGCTGCTGTTGCTGCTGCTGCTGCTGTTGCTGCTGCTGCTGTTGATTGTTGCTGCTGTTTGCTTCTCGATAATTATACACCCTTCGCAGCGCCTGTGCTGCAGCATCATGAACAAAGTAATCTCCCTGAGTATTCATATAATATGACGAAGACATATCTAAATATAAACCTAATTCTTTATTATAGAAATAGCCGCTGCGAGGATCTCGCGAAGAGAACGAAGGCAGCACACCCCCTCGCAGCTGCAGCAGCACACCCTGGCACTGCTGCAGCAGCAGACTCCAGCTCGATGAAGCCTCTGCACACATACATAGCAGCAGCAGCAGCAGCAGCAGCAGCAGGTGGAGCAGCAGCAGCAGCAGCAAGGGTAGCAGTAGTAATAGTAGTAATAGGAGCAGCAGCAGTAGCAGCAGCAGCAGCAGCAGCAGTAGCAGCAGCAGCAGGGGTCTCGACATACATATAAATGTACAGACATATAAATATAAATATAAATATAAATATAAATATATATATATACATATTCATATAAATAGATTTAAATACATCCACATATATACATACAATATAAATATAAATATATATATATATATAAATATATATATATAAATAAATAGATAGAAATATAAATAGATATATTATTTATTTATTATGTGAATGCTTACTGGCGACTTCTTTGAGTTCCTGCAGAGAGAAAACCTGTTCGCCGTTGTGTTGTTTGCTGCTCTTGCTGCTGCTGCTGCTGCTGCTGCTGTTGCTGCTGCTGCTGCTGCTGTTGCTGCTGCTGTTGCTGCTGCTTGCTGCAGCAACTTTGACGATCTCTGCCCACAGTTTTTCTTGCTCTTTACTCATAACCCAAGACCTAACGAAGCAAATATCCTTCTCAATCTCTGTCTCTCTCAATGAGTTTAAAGCAGCAGCAACATTTGCTGCAGTGTCTACGCAGCTCAAACGTATTACAGCAAAACTCTCCGGCCGAGCAGCACCCGGAGTATCATACGCCAATGTGCAGCTTATAATATTCAAACTCTGCTGCTGGCTGCTGCTGCTGCTGCTGCTGCTGCTGCTGCTGCTGCTGCTAGGGGCTGCTGCTGCTGCTTTGCGGCGCAGCTTACGCTTTAAAGCGCGCAGCAGATCTCCCCACTGCAGCAGCAGCAAATCGGAGACAACAACTGTCTCCGAGGGGTCTTCAGGAATTAAAGTGTTTACATATCGCTCTGTCTCCTCGCCGTTTCTTGCTGCTTCTACAGGGCCCTTTGCGCCGCAATGCATGCAGCAGTTGCTGCTGCTGCTGCTGCTGCTGCTGCTGGTGTTTGGTGCGCCGCACGAGGTACAGATCCAATCAGAAGCAGGAGATACGTCTGCTGTTGCACCTGCTGCTGCCCGTGCTGCTGCTGCTGCTGCTGCATCTCTTGAATCTTGCTGCTGCTGCAGCAGCAAAGCTACAGGACAGAGTCTCCCCGCAACAGCAAACGTGCCGCCTTTACAAGACTTAACAAATTTTTGTGCTGCATCAACAGAAGGAAACTCAACCAACGCAACCCGCAGCAGCTGCTGCTCTTCCTGCTGCTGCTGCTGCTGCTCTTGGTCCTTGCTGCTCCCTGCAGCAGCAGCAGCAGCAGGAGGGCTTGCAAAGAAGGGGCGTGCAGCTTCAAGAGAGAGACGGTAAGCAGCAACACAAAGTGTATTTAACTCGCGGAGACAGCAGAGCTGCACACGTACAGACTCAGGGATTGAGAAGCGTTTGTTAATACAATGATCACGAACTGTCTCTTCAATATCTTCGTCTGCTGCTGCTGCAGGGACCCCACATATTGCTGCTGTAAACCCCACAACCTCCTCCCGCCGCCGACTGCTCACACTCTCCGTCTCCCGATCTCGGGATCGATCCCAATCCAAATCACGATCCCGGGATCGATCCCGGGATCGATCCCGTCGACGTACACGATCCCGATCCCGATCCCGATCCCGATCCCTCTCGCGATACCTATCTCTGTCTCTGTCTCTATCTCTGTCTCTGTCTCTGTCTCTCACTCTGTCTCTGTCTCTGTCTCTGTCTCTGTCTCTCGTGTGGCGATCTCTGTCTCTGTCTCTGTCTCTATACTTATCTCTTCTCTCTCGCTCTCCTCGGCTGTCGCTTCTGCTGCGCCGCCGCTGCTGCTGCTGCTGCTGCTGCTGCTGCTGCCAATCTGCCCCTTCTCCCCAGTTGCGGCTCCTCCCATTACTGCTGCTGCTGCTGCTGCTGCTGCTGTTGCTGCTGCTGCTGTGACTCGCAGACTTCTTGTCAGAGCTGCTGCGGCTAAGACCCCGGCTGCTACTGCTGCTGCTGCTGCTGCTGCTGCTGCTGCTGCTGCTGCTGGTTGGGGTTTCTTTTGCTTCTCTGTCCCTCAACTCCTCATCTCCCCCGCCAGGGGTGCCGCGCCGGCGCGACATTTGTAGTAATCTGTTCCCCCTTTGCTGCTGCTGCTGCTGCTGCTGCTGCTGCTGCTGCTGCTGCTGCTGCGGGCGCTGCTGCTGCGTTGATAATAATTCGTGTCGCTCCTGCTGCTGCTGCTGCTGCTGCTGCTATTGCCTCCCTCTATTTTTATTTTATCTTAGGGCAGCAGCTGGAGAGGGGGGGCCCCCACTCAGCCCAGGTGTCTCAACACCTGCGTTGGGTCCCTTTAGGGTTTAGGGTTTAGGGTTTAGGGTTTAGGGTTTGGAGTTCGAAAGCCCAAGCAACCCAGGGCCTAGGCAGTGCTTAAACATTTGGGGTTAATGTTTGCTGCTTCTTGCCTATGCATGCTGCTGCTGTAGCTGCTGCTGCTGCTGTGGCTGCTGCTGCTGCCGTTGCCGCTGCTGCTGCTGCTGCTGCTGCTGCTGCTGCTGTTGGCCGCAGCCCCGAGATCTGCTGCTGCACGCAACAGGAATAAAAATGCGTGGTGTGTATTTATTAATAAATATTTTTTTGTTTATAAACAGCGCAAAAAATAATTAAATTGGGGTGTATGGGCAGCAGACCCCCCGGGCTTGCAGCTGCTGTTGTCCTTCATTTTGTCTGTTTTGTTCTGTTTAATTAAAATAATTTTTAATTATTTTAATATTGTTTGTATTATTTATATTTATTCAGCACATTTTATCTTTAATTTGCTGTTTTATTTCCTTTTTTTCGCCTAAAGTTTGGTAGCTGCGCATACACCTCATGCAGCCCTTTGAATGGTCTCCAGCAGCAGCAGCAGCAGCAAACCCAGGAGAGACAAACGAAGACGAAAGAAAAGAAGATGAAGAAGAGAGACAGTCAGGGGCTTTCTATGGTGTCTCTGTAGGCCTGCTGCAGCTGCTGCTGCTCGTCGTTGTCTTCATTATACTCGCCAGGTGCATCCTGCTGCTGCTGGGGCTGCTTCTCTACATACTGCTGCTGCTGCTGCTGCTGCTGCTGCGGCTCTTGCTGCTGCTGTACCTGCTGCTTCTGCTGCTGTCCCTGCTGCTTCTGGTGCTTCCCTGCTTCTTCTGCTGTCCCGGTTGCTTCTGCTGCTGCTGCTGTCACTGCTGTTTCCGCTGCTGCTGCTGCTATCCTTGCCCCTGCTGCTGCTGCTGTTGCTGCTGCTGCTGATGCATTTAATTTGTGTGTTCTTTAATTTGCTGCAGGTATGGGAGAGAATGGGGACGCCAGCGAGAGCGAGAAGAAGCAGAAAACCGTCGGAGACGCCTCCGCGAGGCCAGGTGCGCCCCACACCCAGCTAGCTGGCTAGCTAGCTAGCTAGCTAGCTAGCTGCCTAGTTATCTATCTAGTTTTCTAGTTATTTATCTAGCTAGCTTGTTAGCTAGCTAGACAGCTAGCTAACTAGCTAGCTCTTCATCCAACTAGCTAGCCGTCTACCTAGCTAGCTATTAAACCCGCTAGCTACCCAGGTAGCTAGCTAGCCAGCTAGCCAACACTATATCGCTAGCTAGCGGTCATTCCACTGGGCAGCGAGAGTATTGAGGCAAGAAAAATGAAGAGGTGTTTTGTTTACTGGGCAGATGCTGCGGGTTTAGGGTTTGGGTTTAGGGTTTAGGGTTTAGGGTTTAGGGTTTAGGGTTTAGGGTTTGTGTTAGGGAGCGGCATGCGTTGGCGTTGGAGGCGGAGATGGCTGCAATAAAAGCTACACCAACATATGCGGAGCAGCAGGCAGCAGCAGCAGCAGCAGCAGCAGCAGCAGCAAACCCTAGGGTCCTTCCTGAGCATAGAGGGAGAATAACTCGCAATAGAAACCCACAAACCCTAAACCCTAAACCCTGGAGGCCTAATCCAGCAAGTCGTTATTCTCGTGGAGGCGGCTGATGTTAAGCAGCGCATGCAGCGGGTGGGGCTGCATGCGCGGTGATCTAGGGTTTAGGGTTTAGGGTTTAGGGTGTAGGGTTTGGGGCCGCCAGCGAATGATGGGTGCAGCCCAAAGCGGGTACCTCCGACGGCTGCAACCGGAGAAGCAGCGGCGCCCACTCCCGAGGGTTTAGGGTTTAGGGTTTAGGGTTTAGGGTTTGGGGGGTCATTCTCTTCTAGGCAGAGAGAAGAGGAGAGCGTGAGGTGTACAGACAGTGTAAACCCTTTTTTGGGTTTAGGGTTTAGGGTTTAGGGTTTGTGAGTAGAGACAGACAAATAAAAGAAGAGATAAAGAAAAGATAAAGAAAAGATAAAGGAGACAGCAGAGACAGTTGGGGTGTATGTGCTGTCTTTGTTGTTATTATTTTGTAAGAGAGCGAAGACAAACAATTATAATAAAAACATATTTATTAATATATTTATTAATAATATTTATTTTTATTTATTATTCGTCTGTCCTTCTTATATGCAGCAGATAATCAAAGAGACAGATAAAAAAAACAGACAGAGAACAGAGACAAGGAGACAACAAAAATAAAAAGAGAGACAGAGACAGACGGACAGACAGACAGACAGAAACACATATAAATATATATAAATATATATATATATATATAACTATATATATATGCATATATATGTGGGGAGAGAGAGAGAGAGAGAGACAGAGAGAAAGAGACATAAATATATATATATATATATATTTATATATGTGCATGTATATATGTAGAGAGAGAGAGACACAGAGAGAAAGACATATATATATATATATACATATACATATATATAGAGAGAGAGAGTTAGAGAGAGAGTTAGAGAGAGAGCGACAGAGAGACTGAGAGAGAGAGAGAGACAGATATGTAAAGAAAGACAAAGCAATAAAAAGAGAGAGATAAAAAGAAACAGAGACAGAGAGACGAAGAGAGGCATAGAGAGAGATAAAAAGATAAAAACAGACAGACAGAGAGACAGACAGAGAAGGAGACGAATAAAAGATAAAGACGAAGACACAAGGAGACAGTTAAACATTAAAAAAGATAATAGCATGCGTATAAAGATAAGCAGCCCTCAATAAACATTGAGGGCCCCCAACAGAGACAGAAGAAGAGACAGTCTCTTTATTTCTGCTGTCTCTCCTTTTAATCGCATATAGAAATATTTGTTACAAATATATATACATATATATACATATATATACATGTACATATATATATATATTTGTATATATATATATATGTGTGTATGTATATACGTAGTCATACTTGTGCGCATGTATATATATA